GACAGGATAATATAAAGTGAACCATAGTTAGAATGCGTTTAGCATTATAGAAGTATTCAAGATCTATCTAAAGAATATTAATTGTTTACTAAGAAACATTGGCTACAGATTGCATGTGTTCAGTATTTGTGCATGAAATAGACAAAGCCTACCGTGAATTATTTCTCCCTCCAAGTTGACTAGCAATATAGGAATGAGCATCATCATCACATGTCAAATAAAAATAACAATAAGCAGAAAAACAAAGGAACCACAGTAATATGTCATTAATAGCTCAATTGATATAAACTGATAGAGGCAAAGTAAAGGTTAGCAGAGCAAAAAGGAAAAGAGATTCATTGGAAATAGGTGTGAGAAAATTAAGGTAAATTGGAAAAAGAACCTTTACAAACACAAGAATATTGCCAGCAATAAATATCGCCCATAGCATCAGTCACGGATCAAGAAGTACGTTATACTAATTAGTATGAAATTAGGCAGCAGCAACTAAGTCTTGCATTGTCATCTTGTTTGTATTTTGCAACATCAACTTGAAACAACATGTATTTCAAAACAACACTATATTGCATAATGCAGCAATTGTTGAAGCAAGACAATCACTGAGAGACTATTCCTATCAACTATTCCTATCATGGTATATATTTTGACAGGAACATGGCATTAACATGGTAGCAAAGCAAAATGACATTGTGTAGGGCTGCATCAATACTCACTTATCTAGCTGTGTATTTTCTATTGTACCTAAACCAACAAAGCCGCCAGATATCTTAATATAACTATCAGCAACATCTGTAAAATTAAATGAACAAGCCATGTAGTTCTCCATCCAGGATTACCGTGATACTAATATTGGTCCTGGTAAAACATGTACAGCAAAAAGGTTGGTTTTCATACCCTTCTTAATTACTAAAATATCTGAAAAGCTCACAGAGGAATGGGCACAAGAAAATATCAAAATGACCAAAATTTGAAATTTGTAAACCAACTTCAAGCAATATGTTCTTTCTCATGAAGAATTTAGGTTTTATACCTTTATGCTTCCTGGTCATCTCATCAGCTTTACGTGTTGTATCTTTCACTCGCAGATGGTATTCCACTAAAAAACCCTTTTCATGTTCAAAGAAACTATCAACATCCTGCAAGACACCACGGTATAATATGACTCTCAGGTATTGTGTGAATTTACAATTATAAGTTTAAAGTGCATATACGCGTCTCCAATACAACTGAACATGCACATTTTGCAATCAAGTGTATGCATTTTAGAATGGAGAAACAAAAAGAAGTTGATGTGTACGTGCATGTGTCATATGTCTTCATATCTCTTAAGACAGATGCATGGATGGAACCCAATACATATAAACCTCCATTTTGGAGAATACACCTAGTTTACGAATGTCAAATTTCTCTACTGGACTTAAGACTTAAAATATCTTCCAGACTAAACTAAGTTTTAAAATAAAAGTATTGAGTTAAAAGACAAGCATGAACAGAAACATACCTTTTGTCCAGACAACAGTACCTCATCCATGGATTTTGTGAATGTTTTAAATATACCACCCAACTTTTCCTTTTTGTTTTTGCCTCTAACACTCAACTGTAACAAATTAAGTATAGGTTTGTTAATATGTCTGCATGTTTATTGATGATTGTACGAT